AAATCTTGACTGTGTAGATACGGCAGGAGGTGGTGGTGGCTGAGAGGAGACTGATGAGGGAGTAACTGCGGACGAGAAAGAAAGCGCAGATGAGGATCTTGCGGATGAACGTTCAACTGATGGCAGAGGTTGTGTGGGATCAGGAGAAAGATATTCTGATTGTCCCCAAGCTTCACTCTCTGAATCGTCTCTGGCAGCTTCAGGAGACTGGAAATCAATTTCAAACGGCGAGGATGCGGCAGAGAAGGAGGCTTGAGAGTCGCCTCTGGATAGAAAGCGATCAATTCGATGATTCTGCGCCATGTGGGCGACGATGGGGTGGTAATTGGGGGTCGGTGGCAGAGGATGGAGGTTGTGGTGGAGGTTGTAGGTGGAGCTTGTGGGTGGAGCTTGTGAGTGGAGGTAGCAGGTGGAGGTTGTGCAATATCACGTGGTAAACAACAGTATTTGGGCAGAATAGGCTAGTTTACGAGTAAATACCTTATCAGATGATCAGATAACTAGGCTAATCTCTATCTATAACCGTCAACCCTCAAATTGATCCTTAAGCTGATCCTCAAGGATCAACCAATCAAGTTGGTTGACCCTCAGGCCGGCCTGGTTGAAAGGATCAACCAACTCTATAGCTACCCTACAGTTGAGTTGATCCTCTGGTTGATCGTATATAAGAGTTGGGTTGGTTGGAGTTGATCCTATATTGAGGAAGTTGGTTGATCCTCTCAGTCAACCGGTTGACTGATGGACACACTGATCCTTAAACTACCTTTACATCTACTGTCTGCTTCTCAGTCGAAGCAGTCTCGCTGGACACAATCTCCGGCTCCTCATATACAACAACACCAGGTTTGCGCGTGCCAGTGATATCGCCGTAGACGTCCCTGAAAGTGCGTGCGAAGCTGGCGCGGCTCTCCCAGATTGGAATGAAGCCGACCATGAAAAGAGAGCAGAAAAGCCAGAGAATACCAACAATGACCCAGCCGGTGAAAAACTGTAAATGGGATTAGCGATTGCAAATGTGATGTCAATGGAGATTTCCTGCATACCCTCTTGCTGAAGATGTAGCCGCTGCCGTACATAGGGATGGGCCAGAGCAAAAGGAAGGCTAGCGTGAGGAAAGCAACCAAGAAGCGGGCAATCTTTCTGGCACGCAATAGCGTCCTCTGCTCGTCCTCCTCGTCTCTGTCCTCCTCGGCGTCTTCGCTCTGCTTGATGTCCAGCATGGATTGCCAGTCGTAGTTCTGAGGCTTGAAGGGCGGGCAGTACGTAAGAAGGGCGATGAAGACGAGTGGTGACAGTAAGCTGACACAATTACCCACCAACATGGGCATATTAGAGCCGGTAGACGCAACGGAGAGCTCTCCAAACTCAGTCTTAGCTTTAACAAGCCAGCCGATCAAGCTACATACAAAGCCGAGAATCGGGGAGAAGGTAGCTGCCGCCCATGATTGTCCAGACCAGAGAAGAGTGAGCGTTGCGGGCAAGACGGCGGCAGAGATGATGACTCCCATCATAAGATAGAGGTAACCCATGCTGATGCCAATGTAGTAGAGACCGGTGCTGAAAGCTGCAAGAGCGATGGCAAAGAAGACGACACCTCCGTATGAGATCCAGATGAGCCTTTTCCCGCTTGCCTTCGGGTTGATGTACGTCTTGTAGACGTCATAGGTCAGGATACTGGACACGGAGATGAGCTCGGCACTAAAGGTGCTCGTGACGGCCATGAACTTGGGGATTTGATTAAAGGTTTACTCTACAGGTCAAGACATTCAAAGGCAATCTTACCATAAGGAACAAGCAGGCGATGGCACCTCCTTTGCCGAGCAACGCGACAGCAGCTTGCGGGAGGACGAGACCAGCAGTGACAGCAGAGTCGGTCAATCGGTCAGGATAGGTCGGGAAGCTTGGGTGAGTCTCCAAAGCGAGGGCGGCGAGTCCCATTGTCGTGGCGCAGAGCCAGGGAATGGCCTGAAATAATAGGATTAGCAGCCACACAGTAATCGAGGAGAAGATGATATCTTACAAACCAGCTTAATCCACCCATGATGTAGCCCGGCAAAGCGTGGACGGGGGACGCTGAGATGGCCTTGTTGTAGTAGGCATTGTCCATGAAGACGGTTCTTTGAGTTGTCAGTATTGGCCAAATGCAATGAGGGTGCTAGCCTTACCCGAAGTTGCCGATGATGTTGATAACGAAGAAGATGCCGCCGTCCTTACTTTTCATGGTGAGATAGCTCCCTCCTGCATTCCCAGGAACCGGTCGATCTATAACAATCTCGGTAAGAATATCGTACAGTCGGCCAGGACTGCCGAGGACTTCACTCGACGAGTAAACGGTGAACGCAAAGACAAAGATGATGATGAGGATGACCAACGAGTTTATGTAGTCGGTCATGAAGGTTGCCTTGATACCGCCGACCATGGTGTAGATGACGACCCCAATGGGGAAGAGAAAGACGGCGGCGGCGGTTGGGACGCCAGTCAATTCGGTAACGACAGCACTCCCTCCGGTGAGAAGCATGGCCGTGACTTTACTGCGTTAGTGCATGGTTGGTGTCTAGAAAGTGTTTTTCCTACCCAGAATGTTCGTGAAAATGCTGAAAACAATATAGACACCGTGAGTGACCGGGCCGTACCGAGCACGGACAGCTTCCAAGAATGTGTGGGCGCAGGGAGCTCGCCTTTTCAATTCAATTGCAATCGAGGCAAACAGAAGGATTTGGATCGTAGCTCCGGCTAGAGAGACACCGTCTGTCAGCACCTTGAAATGGAGAGTGCCGATTCCATTCACTCACCGGCATACCAGAAAGGGCCACTAACTCCATACCGATAGGCGACTGCGGAGCTCTGAAGCAGGGTAGCAGCCCAGGTCCATGTACTGCAAACAGCAGCAGCAACGAGACCAGACTTGACTGAGCGACCGGCGGTAGCAAAGTTCTCAGATGTGGTAACGGCGCCTTGGTACCGCTTGAGGAGCCAGGTGACCAAGATCATGCCCAAGGCAAATGCGAATCCCAGACCGATGATGAGACCGTAGCTGTCAGGGCGCTGGTCAGCAGAGTACGGAGCGGGAACAGGGTGAAAGACGAGGGAAAGGGTGGGATGACTTACCCCCAGCCTGGGTTGAGAGGAGGAGAGTATGTGGTTGCCATGTCTACCTAGGCAGTGAGGACTTGGTTAAGATTGGACTCGAAAAGAAGACGAAGACAGAGTACTCGGGAGGAGATGGTTTCCAGGTGGACCCGGACTTGTTGATTCCCGATTGCTCTTCCATCGTGTTGCACGCGAGCATCAAGAGCTTTATCTACGCGAGCAACTGGGCGGCCGGGCTGAGATTTTCGTCGCACAACCCAAGCCGGGGCTGGGGGAGGAGGCTGCGTGTGAGGACTTGACGCCTGTTGGTGGCATGTTTGGCGAGAAATGGGCGTATCAATTCGAGGATGGAGAGATATCTGCTCTGGGCGCCGCTGTCGAGGCCCTTCTCGAATGCCGATAAAGCGTACTGTTATCGCAAAAAGACGAAGAAATGTAGGAGTGAAGAGGCTAAGGAGAGTTGGACTGTCTCGGCGGAGAAATGCCAATGCTGGGTGGCTTTAGACGGGGAGAAAGAGGGGCGCTGACGGGCTTTTCGGACAGTTAAGAAATCTTGGGTTGTTCTTGACATCTGCATGCTTATCTTGAGCCACTCTAGAGTCGTAGACTTGACTTGTGAGTGAGTTGAATGACTGATTGCAGTCCGTAACACATTGATGCTGTTGGAGGTACTTTACGAGGACGAGGACGAGCGAGGTTGGCGGGGCGGGGCGGGCACGGCGGGATGCTGGAGGGAGGTGGAGTGGCTACGCTGCCCCCTAGGGCTGCTCTTATAGGTAAGGTCACGGGCAGCCATTTCCGACCTTGGAAGCCCCCAGCTTTCAAAAAAGCTGCAATATGGAGGTCGACATTTGGTTTGGATGGGCGGGTATCCGCTATTTTGCGAATGAAGCATAGGAGGAGCAAAAAAAGAATTTGTTGGTAAGAGTGGGAGTCGAACCCACGCGGGCAACGCCCATGAGAACCCTCGATTATCGAGGAAGTAATAAACTTGAGTCACACGCCTTAACCACTCGGCCATCTTACCATAATTTTGTTTAGGAAAAATTCATGTAATTTATAAAACAAATTATTAATCTCTGGCAGATTCGAGGTCAAGAAGCCACCTGGTTTGCGAGTGGGTGTTTTGCCAATTTTTTTTTAAGCGAGCGAATGAATGGCCTTGCAAAACTTAGTCTTGGGTATCAGACAAGTCACGGGTTCCCTCCCCTCTCCGTCTTAATCAACCTACCATTGGTTTGTGATTTCCATGGGCAGGTATGTATAAATGGCGGAAGCCGGAAAGTGTGACTTCCAAGGACTGAGTAGATACCTTACCTACAGTTTGCCATATGGGCTTTGCTTGTCACAGGAGCAGATATCTTGATTCCGCTATGCGGCTATTCAAAACAACACGGAAATCAATTGTAAATTCTTAAACTGGGTATCTCAACAAGTTCTACAGCCTGGAACTTTAAAGACACTATTTCAAGACGTTAGATCTCCCCGTCTACGCTGACCGGGATTTCTTGTATTGATCCGCAATGAATTGTGCACTCGCTGGAATATAGTCTCCATTCCCATAACTCAGATGAGCCAACGTAGACTCGCCGCCCGAAGTGCAAGTCTGAATGGTATTAGCAAAGCATGCGACAAGAAGTAGACTAACCTACCAAGTCGCCAGGCACGCAGTTGAATCTGATCTTCCCATCCATCTGATCAGGGTACCTCGGAATATCTCCCACGGGGCTTTTGTACACGGGATTTGTCTTGTTAGTCTGCTGCCCGCCGTCTCCAAATGTCACTGCCGCGACAATCGAGTCGAAAATCGCAGGAGTGAAATCGACAGCCGCACGGTGCATAATGACAGCTCCCTGCGAATAACCGGCGATGCCGTATCTTTTGTGGGGACGGAGTAAGCATTCATTCGCAGGCAATCCTTGGGGTTGACCTTCCAGACATACTTCTTATTCGGACAGACTCGCACTTGCTCGTTGAGATACTTGTTGAGATTATCGACGCCCACCGCAGGTGAATTGGGGCCGAAAGTCGAAGGATACGGCAGTTGGTAGCCAGCAACGTCTGGGACAAGCTTTTGGAGATCTGCATATAAACGATCTCCAATGATCGAGCCGTATTTGCCTGGCTCCCCAGTGCCGCGGACTTTGACAAGTCAGCTGGAGAAACAATGGCACCTTATGATTCTCTGGCATACCGTAGATGTATTCTAGGCCAGCGCAGGGAGCCGCAGGGGCAGTTGAGCCAACAGCCGCGAGGGCGAATGCAACGACTGCGGTGAGTAGCATGGCGAGTGGCAATTGATGAGCAGGAAGGCAGGAAGGCAGGACAGAAGGCGACGAGGGATAAAAGAGAGGAAATAACATGTATATGGCTAACATGCATTCTGAGCTGCCGACGAATGCATGTAGCTACGAAACGTTCGTTTTCGGTTGTCCATATGGAGGTCAATCAATGTGAAGCAGAGGCTCAAAGCTCAACATCGTAGGAGGGCGGGGCGGGCTGAATAAGGCTGTATACCGCTCCAATGAACGCTTTGAGGAGAGGAAGATTCTTCATAGGGTAAAAAGGCACAACTGACGTAAAGAGGCTGGACAGGCGGTGTTGAAGCCCGCGTCTTGAAATACCTAGATAGAGAGGCGAGAGGCAAGGCACTTTAGGGAGGTATCAGCTCTTACTTCAGTATACCGGAAGCTAACGTCGCATTACAGTGCGGAGTGGTGTCTTGGGTAGTAATTGCAATTTAGTGGGACGGGAAGGGCAAATGTTGCGAGATGATTTTAACGTTAGTTAGTATCGCTCAAAAACGGAAGACGAGGAAGGGAATTGATGAGGTGAGATGAGATGGGATGGTCACGGGACCGAGCATCAACACTGATCAACCGCCGCCGTGGCCCTGCCCGTCCACCTCCGCTTCCACCTCACCAAATGCACCGCTTCCCCAAATCAGGCCCGGAGTCGACCTCCAGAACGAAGAACAAAATCATTTCCGTTATCTCGTTACCGCGTGCCTCAGACTCTAGAGTATCATCAGCGCCCTCGCAGCTCGAATGCAAACATCATACAAGGTATTGTGCTCGGCCAAGCACAAGCACATTGGTCTCCTTCTCTCTACCATCAACAATCATGTTTCCAGTCCAATCCTTTCGAACAATGAGAGAGGAGAAGAGATTGAGGTTCTACTTTTCTGTCTAAAACTCTATGAGACCCAGAGACTGCATCTGTCCGCTACCGTACATGCCCCCCCGAGTGCCCGTGATCGCCCATGGCAATATAGTCGACACGAGGCAATATCGACACATGTGCTCGCTCCAATGAGCGTATCTCTTGAAGAATCTCGGAACTAGGGAACCATGGCGCTTTCATCCCGGTATCGTCTGCCGCCGCCTCCAACACTCTTCCATGCTTGTTCCTGCAGCCCCGATATCTGGTCTAGCCTTCTAACCTTGTAGCCATGTAGCCAAGCAGCAAATATGCTTCGTCTCATATACCTACTCCTACTCCGTGTATCCCTTCCCGTACAGCTTGCCTTTCTCTCGTGCGGCGGTTCGGACGCTTGTCTGGTTCATTCGTTCTTTCTTTCTGTTAGCAATGCTGTCCGCTCCTTTGACCCTTGCGCTGCTTAGTGCCTTGTGTTTTGCTGCACCAGCACCACAAGCACAGCTTTCGCAAGCACCAGCACCTGCGGTCCAGTCGCCTGTCCCTCAACCTGCGCCCGCTTCAGCTCCAGTAGCCCAAGCTCCTCCGGTACCCACTCCTCAGGCGCCAGTACCTGCTCCACCACTACCAACCAGTGCTCCAGCTGAAGCTCCCAATTCAACCCTCCCCGTCATCAAACTCTCCTATGCCTCGTACAGGGCGAATTACTACGACCCCCGGACTGATGTAAGCAGTCGCAGTCGCAAGCGCAGTCCCATCTTCATCTCCATATCATTACTAACACAGTCCGCAGGTTTACGTCTTCAGGAACATCCGCTTCGGCGCTCCTCCACTTGGAAGTCTGAGATTTGCAAAGCCAGCGCCTCCGCCGGTCGTAGAGGGCGTCCAAGAGAACCCAGTGGGCTACACCTGCACAAATGCTCAGGTTCCTTTCCCGGGAGTCCCAGAGATGGCCTTTTACAATGCCATGTCCGAAATGAATATGAACGAAGGTTGGTCGTCGTCCTGTCCAGCAAGGAGCACGCTAACCTTTGCAAGACTGCCTCTTCCTCAACCTGTTTGTCCCCAAGAAGCAGTTTGAGCCTGGAGCGAAATCGGTGCCGGTGGTCAATTGGATCTTTGGGGGCGCCTACAACCTTGGTTCGAAAGACAATTACAACCAGGCTGTGCTTGTCAAAGCTGCAGAGAACAACATGATTGCAATTGCCGCCAACTACCGCGTAAGTATGGAATCGCGAGAAACCCGACAGTCACATTGACATATTGTAGCTCGGAGCGTTCGGCTGGATGGCTGGTTCGACAATGGAAGAGGATGCCACCGCGAATGCCGGACTGTACGATCAGCGCGCGGTTTTTGAGTGGATCCAAAAGGAGATCCACGTCGTCAATGGTGACAAGAACTCGGTCACTGCCTTTGGTGAAAGCGCGGGAGGAGGGTCAATTATGCACCATCTGACGGCGTTTGGCGGAAAACAAGATCCTCTGTTCCACCGTGCGATTCTGCAGAGTCCTGCGTTTCAACCGCTCTACGACCGCGATGGAAACCTCGAGGCCACCTACCAGAGGCTCCTGGGAGCAGTTGGCTGCGCAGGCAAGGGAATGGCGTGTCTACGCAACGTCAATGGCGATCTCATTGAGAGAGCCAGCGCATCCATCATCTCCTCCGCACCAGACGGCTCCTTCGGGTTCGGTCCCTCCCCTGACGGCGCCTGGGTCCGCCAAATGCCCTCCCTGGAATTCGCGACAGGCAACTACTGGAAGAACCTCTCCTCGATCCTGATCACTCACGTGCGCGACGAAGCCAAGCTCTTCGTCCAGCCACACATCGTCAACGACGCCATCTTCACCGCCAACCTCAACGCCGTCCTTCCCGTCCCGGATGACAAAAACAAGATCATCCAAAATGCCATCCTCGCACAGTATCCCGCCACGGGCTTCCCCACCCCGGACCTCCGCGTCAAAGCCTTTCTGCAGGACATGCTCTTCACCTGCAATGTGCGCTTCATCGCCGACGCCTACACCGAGCCCGGCGTCATTACCAAGACATATGCCGGCACCTATACTCGCGGCATCGGCCTCCACGGCACGGACATGGCCTTCGACTTCTACTCCCCGCAAGGCGGAGTCTGGGATATTGCCGCCGCAAAAACCTTTCCCGGGCTCCAAGGCTTCGCGCAAAGCGTGCAGAGCTATCTCGCCGGATTCGCAATATCTGGGGATCCCAACGCAGTGAGACTAAAGACGCAGAGCCTGGCACAACCGACGGTCGATTGGCCGTTGATCATTAATCGGCGCGACGAGGAGAATCTGGCGAACGTGCTTGAGTCGGGAGACAGCGGATTTGGGCTTGTCACCGATTTTGTGCCGGGAAGGAAGGTGTGTGAGTTCTGGAAGAATGTGTATGCGGGTATGACGAGTATGGAGGGTGAGTAACGGTCTGTTCCAGGCGAGACGGAAATGACATACTGACAACACTTCACAGGCTACGCTGCGCCTGGCGCCGTCGTGGAGAGCACACTCCTGAAAGGCACCGGATTTGAACCGGCATCTGCGTCGAAGAACTTTCAAAGCTCTAGACCGAACGCAAAGCGCGAAGAGGAGGAGAAGATGACTCCGTACTTCGAGCCGTTCTTCGATGAATGGTAGCAATAGTGTGTAGAATAATGACCTTGTATATAGACTTAGACCCAAAGAAAAGATTCCGCCATGTTGGCCATGCTAATTCAATTCTACCTTGCGGGTGTGTGCATTGGAATCCATCCTATCTCCTCGTGTATTAGGTATCCTTTTTTCCCCTTCAAAAACGCCTCGTATGATCCTCTCACCTCTCCGCATCCACCTCAGCTGCAACTATCTCAATGGCTTTCACCA